GACGATCGTGTTGTTTCAGCGCCGGTAACGCCTTCGTTTCCGTGCAATACTCTGGAGTTACTTCCGTGCTCCAGGACGCGATGAGCATAAGACCATTCGATCAGAGCTTCCCGAAGAAATTTATGCATAGGGGCCGCTGGAGTGTTTATTTGATTCCCATGAAATTTTATCGGTAAACGCGAACGCCAATCTCTTAAGGAGCACCTGAGTGGGTGAAACAACCATGATCTCCCACTTTTTCGAGGTTCCCACCTCTTACAGTCGTGAATTGCTACTAGACTTAAGTAAAACTGCCGAAGGGCCATTCCTGAGGCATAGCTGCGACATTTTCATATCAGACTGTACAGCAAGTTTCGCTTCCTTTATGCCTCATCCTGCATTCGCGAGACTCCGTATAGTATTTTTGACCTCAATATGGTCATATCTGATATTTCACGCGGAAACGTTTTGTGAATCGTGCTACAAAACCATTCAAACCGTTATTATCAGCTGCCCTTTCAGAACTTGTGTTTTATTCGCGCATTTCATGGTGAACATGGAGGACGAATCCAACCACTCTGTCAAAGGAGACGAGAACGTGGAAGAGGAAGCACACGAGGAGCGTCAGGAAGAAAACGAAGATAAGCAAAAGGAAACTGAAGAGAATGGCAATGAGGCAAATGAAGATAAGGATAAGGACGAAAAGGAAGAATCCATTGATGGGAAGAAGTTGCCACAGACCAGCTACGTTCGACTCCGAGGACTGCCGTATTCTGCCAAGGAAAGCGACATCCGTGATTTCTTCGAAGGTAGGAGGATCACTCCGTTTCATGGTATTCTTAAAATCTTGTTACTAACCATCTCATTAGGTATCGAAGTTTCAAATATCACAATGAGCAGCAGTCACAATGGTCGACCTAGTGGAGAGTGCTATTGCGAGTTACCCTCAAAGAAAGATGCACTCAAAGCGTTGGATCTACACAGGAAGGAAATGGAGGGTAGATATATCGAAGGTGCGTTTTTATGGGTGTGCATTTCCGAATAAGAGCTTGTGCAAGTGCCCATGCTTCGCGACGGTCATTCGACGATTTGAGGGTTTGCACATTCGAGTATAAGTGTCGATCTGGCAGTTGCGGAGGTTGAGGATACAGCGATTCGAAAGACGACGTGTTTGGCAGTTGTGCGTTATGGAAATGGATGGTTGAGCGGCGCCGGTCTCCAGCGTTTCTAGCGTCGTCGTCTGGAAAGTTCAGTCTCCAGAATTGTCGGATCACTCAATCTCCGCAATCGCCAGCTTGATGTATACACTTTCCTCGTCGCGCAGTCTTTCAAACCGCCGTATCTCAGTCGCAGAGTATGAATAGAGCAACCGTAGAAAGCTGCCTTTGGATTGAGGGTTGCGTTCCAGTATTCACGGTGTCAAAGGAGGAGCTCAATAATCTGAAGCGCATTGGAATTGTACCTGACGACGGTACAGTTATCCGACTACGTGGTCTGCCATTTTCCGCGACCGCTCAGGATGTAAAGGACTTCTTCAAAGGTGCGCTGCTTGAGTCCTGCTGAGGATTTTGTAATTTTACGATTATTTACAAATCTATTTTTTATTTTGTATCAATAAGGAAATAAGTGTTGTGGCTGGGAGTCGGGTCATGGTGCCTATATTCCCGGAGCTCCTCAACGCATTCAAAAGAAGAGACTTGCATTTGAAGTCTTATATGTTTTTCATCTTTTGATTGATAATGTTTTAATGATTATATTTTTGATTGTTTCCCGAATTTGTTATTGCCTCATCTGGTTTGAGGGTATGATTTCACAAAAACATTGGTGGTGTGTATCAGGGCTTACCTGTGAAGAGGTGGTATTCGGGCGTACGGGAGGGCGACCTAGCGGGGAAGGCTTCGTACGACTTGCGTCCAGGGAAGAAGCCGTCAAAGCGCTCGATTTCAACAAGCAACATATGGGAAGCAGGTGGGAGAGTGGGATCACTTTTTTGACATTACGTACAGGTTTTTTTTGTATTTTCTTTGCACTACTCTCTTTGAATCTCTTGTTCCATATATTCCAACTGTTCATGTTTCAGGGCTTTCTTTGAATTGTAACTCTCGATCTGACATTGCTTTCTTCAGCCGCACTCTTTCTCTCTCGTAGATGCACATTGTGATGTATATTGCAAAAAATATATTGGGAATGTTTAGAAATGTTTATTTGTCTAGGTATGTCGAAGTTTTCCGGACCACAGTGGATGACATGGAGCGTAATCGGCCTCGTAATTACGACACTGGTATAAGGCCTCTGTTTGACAGGGATTATATGGGGTATGTTCACATTTTTCCTGCTCCCCAGTTTATAGTTGAATCCTCGCCATGTACGAGGTGGGGACGCAAAGTGTGCTGAGATGAAGCTAGATCGTTGTGATAGCTCGATTTGTCTGTCGCATAACCCAACCACTTCATAAACAATGAACCCGGAGCAGAACAACAACACATTGTTCTGCGTTCATACTTAGCGTGTTGTTCTGCGTTCATACTTAGCGTCCACCAGCGAAGAGGAAGGTATGGATATCGATCTAGCGGACACCTGCGAAACGCTGGCGTTTGCTTCATCGACTCCTATACTTTTCTACTTGCAGAAGCTGGCGTACGCTCGAAATGCTGGTGGGCGCCGGCGCAGAGTATCGAGGCAGCCATAAGGGTAATCGTGGCCGCTTGCGCTACTTGCCTGCTCCCTCTCACATATGGCTAAATCGCCTTATCTGTAGTTTAACTTCGGCACGATTGCTGCGAAAGACGAAATCTGATGACCCGGATCCTGTAGCGAACGCTATGCTATCACAACCCTCTAACTTTACTTTTTTAGCTTCTGCGCACTTCTGAGTAGCAAATGGGAACCACCCTGCCTATAAAAAAATTAGTAATTTAATAATTAATTATCGGAGAATTTATATTTTTTTTGTGATCATACGGTTTGTCTTGGTGGATAAACCCGGTGAGCAGATTTGTTTTAGACGCTCTCCTCGCAGCATGAGAGGTCTGCGTTCAGCACCATACGACATTCCACGTGGTGGATACGGAAGATACGATGATTATGACGATTTTGTCCCACCAACAAAAGTTCGTTTTCTTATGTCATAATTTTGGAGGTTAAGCTATTTTTATGAGAGTTTTTGATTTCAGATTTTCATGCGTGGACTTCCATACGATGCTGATGCTTTCATGATTGAGGAGTTCTTTGCCCCTTTGCGATGCGTTGAAATCAGTGTAAGTTGTATATACACACAAAAATACTGCCTTGAGGCAAATCGGAGAATTATATCAAGGATAGTTGGGTGGAGAATCAGAGCAACGGGAAAATATGTATTGGTTGAACAAGTGATCAGTCTGTGGGAGGGTAGTCCTTTGCGAGTAGTCCCCTTCTCATGATTAGTTGGTGTACTTTCTTTGTTAGGCTACGATCATACATTGTGTGAACATTTTGAGCGACTGAGGAAGTATAGGTTTCTAGTATAGCCGAAAACGCTTACGGACTCTCAGATTGCTACATTAGGTTAAATTATCAGATCGATACCTATACTCTCCTAGTCGTTCAAAACGTTGCAGACGCTTCAAACGCTACAGCAAAGTAAGGAGGACTCCTAGAAGTTCTCCGGATTCCATTTCTATAGTATCAGTACTTGTGACTCAGTCTAATAGGTGAACAAATGAACCGGCGTACCATTTCTCTCTTCAGCTGGGATTCAACGAGGACCGCCGCCCCTCAGGAGATGCTGTGGTGGAGTTTGGTACGACTGCTGAAGCGCATGAAGCTTTCTCAAGGAATAAAGCTATGATGGGGAAAAGGTGTGTCTAGTAATTACCCGCTTAAGGGTTGGGCGCACAACGAATAATTCATCAAAAATTATATTTTAAGATACGTAGAATTATTCGGTTCAAACGATATGCCACACACCATGAGAAGGTTGACGTGGCGCGTAGTTGGTGGACAGCCTGCTCCTAGGCCGTTGGCTATGGTGGCCCCGAGAGGTCAGGTTTCAGCTTTTTTTTCCTCCATAACATGCCATAAATGTGTTGAATTTCAGATTTTTCAGATTACGATTTCGGAGGATACGGTGGTGCGTTCATTTTCGTCTACGACAATTTGGGTAATGTACTATTCTACTTCAGTGAAGTAACATAACTATTTTAGATCTTGGCGGATACGGTGGCGGCTACGGTGGTATGCGCGGTGGAGGTGGATATGGCCGTGGCTACGATTCAGGACCTGGCCCTTTCCGTGGATACGGAAGCGGCAGCGTGGGAGGTGGCTCGAGGTCGCGAGATAGGCGTTGGTAAAGTAACTTACCTTGTGGGAAGATATCTGTGTACGGCTTAAAAGTAGTTTTCGGAGTTATCTCTGTCTGCAATTCCATTGTAAGCAATGTTAACCGTGCTCGAAGTTGTTGTGTTTTTACTATCTGTTCTCATTTGTAGTGGATCTTCGTGAAACGTTGTTTTTCTTTTCTTATTCATAATTATTTTGTTTTGCAACATTTGCATACTCCTCAGAATGTCCATGAAACGTGCTGGTCCTCTTATATGAATGAATATTCGTTCAAATGAATTTCTTAATTAAGTATTCGTTAAATCAATCGATACATCTATACAGATGGGTAGAACATTGAGTGGGATAGCGCACACATAAGGTGGCTTAGTGGTCGGGAGGTTTCGGTTGGGGAAGGGGAAAATGTTTTGACAAGACAATCGCAAACCGCTCAAGTACCGTGCGACGTCGCCCCTGGAAAAGGGGCATTTTTTTAGATTGGAGGTGGGGATAACGAGCTATATGTAATCAAAAATAGAAATAAGCAACTATTTTATCGTCGTCTTCCTGGAATCCTGTTGAATCCAACTAGGCGAAATCGCGTGAACGTGTAGATCGCCGCGCGCGACCAAGCGACAAGTTCGATTGTCTTGACCGTTTCCATATTGTAATAGGGATAGTTTCTTTGTCGTATGGATACGTTGGACGCAGCCGGGAAACTGTCATGTTGGTCTTGTCTCTTCTGCGTGTCCTTCTTGTGCCTAGGCTTCAAAGAAGCGAGATGTGGCGCCACCTCCCGGATGGATCCTTAACTGGCGAAAAAATGTAACCCAGTAGGGTTGTGGAAGGGGGCAGAAGATAGAGAGGATACGTTGCTTTGTGCAACCGCTCCACCGATGTGTTGGGTATGACCTTTTTCCAACTGGAATTTGAAAATACCCGCAACCCGGTTACAGCGGCTCTTGTCTACCGGGTACGCTCTCGCAGCGTGGGGGAAGCTAGAAAAAGGAAGAAGTTAGCAAAAAGGAACGAGGAGAAGGCTTCGACGTTGACAGGTATCCGGAGACGTCAGTAGCCGCTCAAATTGATGCACACCTTCTTCAAGGAGCTAAATACGATTCCAGAGGGCCCCATATTGGTTAGTTTTTGCGGCCACATCAAGCTCATGGCTGTGATTCCATCAGTCCCCAGTGATGGGGTGTTTAAAGTGACGCCGTGCTTTCAGTGATGTTCTGGCGCCTTGTTTGGGCATGGTTCTCCACCCTGCAGGCAATGTACTGCTTTCGTAACTCATAAATACATTGGGACCTGTATTTGGCACTGTGGCCCACGGCTCAGCCTATTCAATAAGGCAACGCCAGCAACATTTCGACCAGTCACCCAAAGATGCGCTTGCTACTATACTTTCTTCATTTCGAATTAGGAGAGTGAGGTGATAAGGAGAAGTAGCCGGCACCAACAAGTGAGAACGCGTCCGTCATTGTCTTCCACCCTATGCACACACGAGCGCGAATCGTCATGCGGGCTGCTCGGGCATTTCTGTCGGGGTTTTCAGTGCTTTTTTTCTCCTTTTGTTCAACATAACGTCTTGTCATTAGTATTTGAGCCGCGTTCATCACCATTTTTCAATGCACGGCGTACCTTTGAATGGATTCTGTATGATTTCTTCCGAACTGCTGATTGTTTTAATTTCAAGAGTAAATGACAGATTGGCCACGCGTGGCCGATCAACAATGGGTGCAAGAAACAAATAAACGAGTTGAAGCGCAGGTGGGTTAGATATTAGATTTTCCTTTTTTTTCGTTAACTGTTTGGTATTTTTGGCGTGTTTGAGAGGATTTTCTCCTTGTCTAAGTTTATATTTACTGTTAATTTCTTTATCATAATTCTTTCTGCCTCGAAATGCGCCAGTAAGAAGCCTTCCAAAAATTATGGCCCTTTGGGCTGTTTTGTCATTTGAGGACTTCATTTCTAAGTATTTCAATTTGAGCTGGGAACGGCCTTTCTAGCTCTAAGCTACCAAGATTCCCAGTTCTTAAGATAACATTTCTTCAAAAAAGTCCTCCCTGTGGATGCACGCTTTCGGCTAAGCTAAAAAGGTAGTGTAGGTGATGTCTTCGCTCACCAATTCGAACTCTCTCATCTCAAAAGGCTTACTCAAACTTACAAGGCCCACTCAGAAGGAGTTTGAGGTCTGAAGCTCAGATACAGCGCGCACGGATGAGTGTTCTGGATTATCATGATGGTCTAGCTTCCCGTGTTCCGGTTCTAAAGGACTGATTCCTTCGTTCGTTCCTGCTTTGTATGTCCCTTTTCCATTTCTGTTGTGGTTCCGTTTGGAGGAACATTACTTTGAACGAATTGGAAATAAAAGAATTCGGGAATTTGCTAATTTTATACCACCGGGGTAGCGTTTTGGTTTTGTGATGATTGAATGCAGACGCGGAACAATTTATGTTGCGCATCTTATCGTCAATTCTATGGAACTGACTAGTGAAAAAATACTGCACCTGTTACTTGGCCTGAGTTCCTCTTAGAAGATGCTGACTATCTCTTCCTATTCCTCCTTATTGAAGATCGATTGCCGATGTCTGTGTTTATCATTCTTCCAAGAACATCTTGCATCTGGAAATATGGGAAGTATAGCGGTCGCTTACTTGGGAAGTCCACCAATTACTATGGAACTTTGAATGGAGACCTGGTAGATCGATAGAGTCTATAAGGTTATTTACAAATATAGATAGCAAAACTGCAACCTGCATTTCACAAGCAACTTATGAGCAGGTAAAGTTTGTAATGCAGTAGGTGGAGGCTTGATGGTGGGCTGTGAAACATACACTGGTGTGCAAAACTTAGGGACGAAAGCAACTTTCGATCACTGTGCCTCTGCCAGACAACATAGCTCGATGAAATTCATATCATATCAAGAGAGAACCTTAACGATATTGTACAGAAAGCAACTGACAGAAACTCGGAATAAGACGAATTGTTATGACATTTTTATTCAACCATGTCGATTACACATAAGTCTTCACGATTTATCCTGGTACTACAAAAGAAGTTACACGGATCCTAATAGGGTGTGTGATCACCACGGACAGCAATACATGCTCTGCACCGCGATCCCATACTCTCCACGAGGTTGGTAATGAGTTCCTGGGGCAGGGCATTCCACTCCTCAATCAGTGCATTTGACAATTGCTGGATCGTCATTGGTGCATTTGGTCGTGCTGCAATGCGTCTACCCAGTGCATGTCCTTACAAGGGAAGGATACCAACTCGTCCTGGCCATTCAGAATGAGATGTATACTCCTAGAAGCGTCTTCGGACGCTGATATCAAATCTGGCTTCCAAATCTGCTAAACGATTCTGGGTGAGGAGTTACGGACCTTTTTTGCTACTGTGCTTAACCATTGCGGTGCGCCCCCTGCTTATGCTTCGCGCTTGTAAACCCTTCGTGACCCAACCCCCATCGTGGTTCGGTGGCGCAGTAGGTAAGTGGATGGACTCATGGTCGTGCGATGGAGGTTCGAGTCCTTGATGCATTTCGTAGTTTTGCTTTTTCTTGAAACGTGTGCTCAACACTTGGGAAGTAGTTTTGCATACCTGTCCGACCACCAAGACAACTCCCTGCTCTTTATTGAGCCCCGCGAACGATTTTCGTGAAAAATTACACTTCTACCTAACTCGTTCATGCAAGGGACCAAATACACATGCATATCTGCCCGAAGTACGTGATCTGCGAGATTTCACAATCCTATAGAATGACAACGTGTGTGGGCAACGAAATATTTCAACATGTTCGGTAGCTCTAATCACCCACGCACACAATATCAGCCAACACCTCTGCGACCGTGCCTACCATAACTAAAGTAATATTAGGCACTGTTGAACTACTCCTACCCCAGAAAGCTCAAAAAATTTTTCTCGCTGAAACGTTGTCTACAGATGCAATTCTATGCCCTGATCACGGTTTTAACCCTCGTTTCGAGCGCTGGCGTCATTTGGCGCCATTATGCACCAATTTGGCGCCCACCACTTTTTTCCTGCAAAGTTGATGAAAACTTGC